CTTTACCCGTTTATAGTCCTTCTTAATGGGTTTAGCTCAAACCTTAGTTCTTTAAGGCTTAGATCTTTGTCCAAAGTCCTTATCACTTCAATCCAAAGCATGAAAACCGAGATCTAGGTCCTAAATACTAAATAAACATGTAAATTCTCAGAATTTGCTTCCATGCATGGCCTTTATGATTGTTTTTGAGCATTCTAGCACTTCCTAAGTGTACATGCAACCCTGATAACCTTGAATCTATGTTTTCTCTATATACATGCAAATTTCTTTATCAAGGTTATTTCCTAACTAGCATGGCATGGGGATTACATAAAACATAAAAACTAGTAGAAATACATACCTTGTTGTTGCTTGGATTCCTTCAAGACTTTCTGAGCCTAGTACCACAAATGTTGTGCCTCAAATGCTTCACACAACACCACAAAACTTGGAATAACTTGAGAGAATACTTCTTACACTTGAAAATCGGTTATGCCCTCTCTAGAAACACTCTAGTGCCGATTTTGCATGCTATAGGGTTTCTTTTATAGTGTGTCATAATTAGGAGTTACAAATGTAAACCCTAATTGTCATGACTCTTCATTTCTCATGACCCATGGGTTTGTAACTCCCATGGACTATCTATGGATCTCCATATGGTTATAACCAAACCCATAAACCATGGATCATTAATCCACCATAAAAGAATTGATGATTGTCATAATCAACCCTATATATTTAATTAGTCTCACTTTGATCACCAAATTAATACTAGATTAATACTTGATCAATACTAATTAAATAATACTATTATTAATATATTAGAACTTATAACATATTAATAATCACAAGTGTACTTTCTCTCATTTTGTCTTTCCAATTATTGCAATGTCATGCAACCCAAATGGACCATGTCGGGTCGGGTTAAGTACATACCAAATAAAGTTATGGACTTAGACACTGGATCCAACACTTTAGGGCTCAAAAGACCATAATAACATCCATAAGCTTGCATGTGGCTTCCATGGTCATAAAGTTTGCAAATTTATGCCATGGAACCCCTCCTAGAGCATAGATTTGAAAGGTAGTCCACTTGGGACATCCTTGTCCCAAGGATCAAGGTTCTTGGACCAAAACCTTCATAAAAAGGACCTAAAGAGATCTAATGAACTAATAAGCAAGGTGAAGACTTGATTACCATAAAATGATGAACATGAGGACTTGTTTCTGGATCTACAATTTTCCTTCTGAAAGTTCAAGCTCTTCCTTCTTCAACAAGCTTCAAAACACTCAACAAGAACTCACAAACTCAAAAGGTGCACTAGGTTTCATGGATTAGGGTTTTGGACTTGGAGGTTGGAGTTGAGGCCAAGGGGTGAGGATTAAGGATCTTAAATAGGGTGCAAAACTCCAAAATTAGGGTTTCATCCTGGAATCCCTACTCATCGAGTCGAGGCTCTCGACTAGATCACTTTTACCCCGCATCCAATCTGGCTTCTACTCGACAAGTTAGGGCTACCAACTCGTCGAGTAGCTCTTACAAAAATAAATAATTTTATAATTAAATGCGTACCATGAATCGGGTGTTACACTTGATATAACTTGTTGCTATTTATTTCCTTTACATTTCTGCAATCTAACTTATCTAACTATTATTATTGAGCTAACAAGATCCACTGAGATTCACTTACTATTCCACAACTTATTATCTTGTTACTAACGTTTGATCAAGTTTTTCTCTCAACAAGTAGGAGTAGAGTACATCAAATAAACAAATTGTCCATCACCTACAGGTTATAAAACTGCCTGTGTCCCACGCTACTATCTTGAATAGTTCGTAGTCGCCACCCATACTCTGTTAGATGACTACATCATTAATTAGTACACTAGTACCATTTCTACATTGTTAGTACACTATTACTATTTAAAGTTGTGGCCTATCATCATCATTTTCATCTCTAGTCTCTCATCACTCATCACCCTCATTATCTATCATCTTTCATCACCCATTGCTACCCAATATTATAAGTATAAAAATACATATACGGTAGAAAAGCATATAAAGATCATCTTATATTTTTTTCATTTACCATATAACATCTTTATCATAGATAATAAGCACATATAACATTTAATTATCTAAATACTTTATATCTATGTGTAAGATGAAAGTATCTATGCACTTACTTGTTAAAAGTGGATGACTCGTGAATTCGACATCACTTCGTCTAACACCTTCACTTTTCCTTTGATATGTGCTAGGTTTAATTATCACTAAGTTTTAGTCTAATATTCCTCATGAGTAAAGATAGTCTAGATTCCTCAATAATCCCAATGTCTATATCAAAATCTATCGAATAAAGAGCAACCATGTAAGATCATATCAAGATCTATCACTAAGTTTTATTATAATATTCACTGTAACAAAATATAGTTTATATATGACCTCAGTTTAATTATCAATAACTTTAAACATCTTACTAAATCTTAGCCTACACATCAACCCTGTAAGTAAATCAATCATTAATATGAATTGGAATCACTGATAAATCTTATTTATAAAATCACAATAGTGACTATAAATATAAATATAGGTTACACTTGAAATATAATAAATGTAGCTTAACTTACAAAGATTTTTGCGAAAACCGGGAAATTTTGCGGGCAAAACTTTGAAACCAATAGAACTATTTTTCCAGGCTATCTGATGATCCATGGCCTCGTTACTATCACTAAAAAATTATTAAAAGTGGGGCTTTGATGATTTAGGGTCATATGGGAGAGTTGTGGGAGAATTGTGTGAATGAAATAATTGCAAATGCTAGAATATATAGGCTCACAGGGGGAACACGTCGTGCTTAACCAAGAGGCATGTCGCGCCTCTAAGATGACGTTGCTCATTTGCCCTCGTGACACGTGGCAGGCTTGAGTGGATCGATGTGGTTGGCTTCTAGAAGTGCTCGTCGCGTCTCTTACGTGTGGCGTCGTCATGAAATCTTCAAAAAATCGCATCTTCTTCACACAAACTCCGTTTTGATGTTCTTTATATCCACACGTAGCTATTGATAAGATCTACAACTTCCATTTAGACTCCGTCGACTAATTCTTACTTTATTTTAAAGTTATATTTTTAGTAGACTTAGACTGTTAAAGTCCGTATAAATATCATAACTTTCTTATACGGCATCCATTCTTGATTGTCTTTATATTAACGAAGACATATCAACAAGTTCTCTGACTCTTGTTTAGATTGTTTTGTCTAACAATCGACCGATCTAAGATTCGGTTTCAGTGCTAATACAATTGCGCTGAAACTTTGAAAACTCATAATTTTCTCATATGAAGTTAGATTTAGACGTTCTCCGTATGCAAGAGTTCCCTTTTACGATTACTATAACTTTCATTTAGACTACTTAGACTAATAAGCAATCTATCTAAAATTCATTTTTATGACGCGAATAGTCGTGCCGGTTTAATCGTGAAACTTCAATTAAAAATAATTTTTTCATACGATGTTCGATTTCAGAGTTCTTTATATGTACGAAATTTTTGTCATATCTACTATAACTTCGATTAAGATTATTTATCCTAAATAATCTTCTATCAAAATCATTTATTTATCACCCGCACACCGAATAATTATAACTTATTATATCTTAAATGTTTAGTCTGAATATGCGGACGTTACATCATATATCTACGTACCTCTTCTTCTTCTGTTATTCGGGACCTAACAACCAGCTTTGTCGCGTCTCATCTAATGGACAAGAAAGATCCACCCTATCGAAGTTGAACAACCAGATTTGCTACGTTTCATCTAATGGACGAGAAAGAGCCGCCCTGTCGAAGTCGTTAAAGTTCTGCTCCGGTCATTGTTTGTTGCGGAGTCAACTGTGTTTATCTCCAACGGCCTACCTACCAGATCTCTATCGTACATACTCATGACTGTAATTGAGCTTCAGTTGGAGCGAAACTTAGATGGAAAAATGGAAGAAAGTGAGTGTTCTTGACGAATTAAGCTTACCCAAACACGATTTATTTTTATAGAATCGCTCGGAACTCGAGTATGAACTTAAGAAGTACAAAGAAAAATTGAAGATAATGATGAAATCAAGCCGTTGTAATGTGGATCAAATTGGTATACCATCACTTAATCCATAAAGAGATGTTTAATATCCGAGAAAGGTTAGGGAAATAATCTGCCGAAATGGTAAAATAATAAGTATCAAAATTTTGCATTTCCAATGATGAAATTATGTATTCGCCCTTGTTACATTGTTATAGGGAATGAGAAATGCAAGTGCTTAACACAGAGGAAGATAATGAACAGGAGAGAGATGACCCCCAAGTTTTGACAATGTTTCACTCAAACCGGCTAAAACAAGTAAACGGGATTAAAAAGACAGATTGCAATGAGTTGGTTCCCTCATTAAGTCACGAAAATAGTTAAAGTACTAAAAGAACCAATTCTAGAAAATTCGCAGGGCATTTGTATCATTTAGCATTAAAAAAAAAACATAAAAGTTTAGGTTTGGACTCGAAAATATTTTGGTCAAAACAAAAACGGCTTCTATCCTATGATCTAAATAAAATTTGACACAAAAGTGAAAAGTTTTGGGCTTTTAATGTTAAAAGGAACCTCTCTCATTTGTAATAAATTCTAGAGATTAGTTCCAAAAAGTTTTAAATGTTTTTTTGGTACGTATTGATTTAAGCATATTTCAAGAACAAGACTAGGTATTTATATAACTTCACATTCCTTGAGGTACATTTCCACTGTAGTCAACTAGATCTCTTGTGGATTAGGTTTAGTGGGAGAATGTGGGTTTATATGGGGAAGAAACAAGTTATCGGTCGATTAGAGCTCCATGAGAATTGCATTTAATACAATTATACAAACGCATCCCCATGCCAGAAAACGCTTCAGTTTCCAAAGAGGATCGACCAAGTATTATAAGTTCATCCAACTTACTTTACTTTAGACATACGAAAAACTGTTCTAAAAAGTTTGACATACGAAAATGGCTTCACCACAGCTCCCGGCGACTATGGAGAAGCTCCCCGGCGATGTCTTATCAAACATATTCATTCGCTTATTGGCAAAACAGCTTGGTCAGATGAGGTGCATCTCTAAATCTTGGAATGCTCTTTTATCTCAATCCTCGTTTATAAAATCTCACCTTCATCGTTCTATTCATAACAATGATGAAATTCTCATGGTCTTTAACGCGGAATTTCCTTCTGACTCTGAACCCACAGCACAACCTAAACCATTCATAGCGCACCCTTCTCGATCTCCCGATATTGAACTCGCTGATTTCATCAAACTCCCCGTTATTCCCCATTCTGAACATAAGTGCCTCTTTGCTATTGGATCTGTTCATGGCTTAATATGCTTTTCTTATGGAAGATATCCTGATTCTGTTATCTACATTTGGAACCCTTCTCTCTCAGCCTTGTTAAGTCTCCCACCATATTCTAAGCCATCCGATGGTGATTCTCCATGGACCTTCTTGCGGTTTGGGTTTGATCCCAGAACTGATGATTATAAAGTGGTTAAAGTTATAAGTCTTCTCCGACCACCAGGCAACATCGCTCCGATTTTTGCAAACTTTTTATCTTTGACTTCTTGTGTTGTTGAAGAGTGGTTGCATGTTGAGGTTTACAGTGTGGGTGATGAATGGGTATGGAGTGGATGACTCATGGATCAAACATAATGTGCTTTCTCAGTTTAGTGCTGATATAATTATACCGTATGGATTCACATCACACGGTGAGTTTCTTTTTCAAATTAGAGACGTTGAAAATGGATCCACATCACAGAATGAGTTTTTTTATGATTATTTGTATGATGGTCCTGCTAGTCTTCTAGCGTTGTATGATTCGATTGCATCCAAGGCTAAAGTATTCAAGATTTGTGCTGCAAATGATGACACAAAATATGTGGAGTATGTAGACAGTCTTGTTTGGGTGGCACCTATTGAGCGTGAGTTGAGCATCTCTCGACTGCAGATTTGAAGATACATTAGCGGGATGGACGGATGGAGGATGGTCATTAAGGCTAAGCAACATATCATCTCTACTTTTTTTGTATCCTTACCTTTTCAATTAACAACAATTCAGTTAACACCTCAGTGGTGGATCGGCTTGTTCAGAATCTCTGCATTGCAATTTTTTTATAAGAAGCTAAAAGAATGGATGTTATTATTATTATGTGTTTTAAGATTTGAACTGTTTGTTTGTTTCTGATAAGAAAGCTTAAGAGGTGGGTGTTATTTTCAATGTGTTATTTTGTCTTTTTTGGCAATTTGGATCCGTTCATGCTAAAGGTCAATTAAACTTTTGCAAGCATAGTGTGCATTTGGTGGCACTGGAGCTAACTCCAATACAACACAAATACACCATGACACATAAAGAGTGGTGAACAGTTTTAGATCATTTCTGGCCCAAATTAATATATGTCACTGATAAGAAGAAATTTCCATTAAAATATATAAAGAATAATTACATAAATAAGAAAATTAATTAAAAAATAAATTAAAAAAGGCAATTTAGTAATTTGAAGTAAGATAAGGACTAAACGCACAACAAAAATAAACAGTAGAGATCATCCAAGTTAAAAAAATAACTTAGGAACCAAATGTACAAATTATCCAAACTACAAGTACCATTCATGTATTTTACTTTTATTTTTTCGGTTTGTTCACATTTGGATAACTATTTTTTTTTACACATCTAGGTAACAAACTTTTTGAAGTGTTCACATACCACTGTTATGATCAGATGTAACATGCTATAGCCTGTCATAGTCATATGTGAACACTTCCAAAAAATTCGTTACCGTGATGCGTATAAAAAAAAGATAGTTACCCAGATGTGAACAAACCGAAAAGTTAATTACCTTATTAAGTCTTTTCCTTTTTGGACAAACTTGCTTATAATATATTAGAATTGTCTTATACCAAATATTATTTTCTTAAAGTTTTAAAAGTAGTGGCCAAACATTTAAAATGCATTATTGATTATAACATATGAAAATTTTCTTCAAAATCATCTCTTACAAGCGAGCCAATCGAAGACAATGCGAGAATGAGTTTCGCCAAAATTCCAAAAATAGTGACCTAAAGATTTTATCCAAAACTTGTGAATAGGGATTCAATCTGGTTGCCAGAAAGACCATTATCTATCTGTATTGGGATTGGTATTCGCACGATACCCACAAGCCAAATTCATGATTTGATCAGCAAAACTCTAAAATCAACAAGATGGAAAGAACCGATATGTTCCCTTGCATTAAATCCGCCATCCTCCTATAGGTGGTCATCCTATGATAGGTTGGTACATACCTCGTCCGAAGTTTCTGTTTCAAGGACTCCCAAGAATAAATCTTCTTTTTTCCTTTACGAGTTCTCCTGGTCTTTGAACCTTCAAACCACAGCGAAACAAGAACGTTAGAAAAATAAGAAAAATGATAGATTTGATAGACAATCTAGATCTATATATCGAATATCAGTGAAAACAAGTTAAGACATATTTATTAACTTGAATTCTATCAAGATCAGGAAAGCCCCCTTTAATTGATATGTGATAACAAACTAAGATCTATTGACTTGAAATCGAAGCCACGAAAATGAGATACGTGTCTCAAATAATGACACAATCTGAATTATATGCAATAATTTGAGAAAGGATGAACAAAAATTCTTTAACAAAATTCTTCTAATAATTTTTTAAATGATCAGGGGGGCTATTTATAGCCTTACAAATGATTACAAAAAGGAAACTAACTTCAAAAAGCAAACTACATTCTAAAGGCACATTGAAAACTAAATAAGGAAATAAATAAAAGATAAAAAAAATCGTTTCCAAAAATAAATAAAATCTTCCAGCTAATTTATGGTGGTAACCATGCAACTCCATCTTGTATCGATTCCAAATAGTCTTATGTAACACCCGCTTTCTAGGATGGATCAAATTAGGGTTCAAGCAGTCAAAATATCGGTTTTTGGAGGAAATCGAGTGTTACGACTAGGGATGTCAAAAAATCCCGTGGGACCCTGTTCCCGTGGGGGCTCCATCCCGTTTGGGGGATTTTTTTAAAAAAAAATCGGGGGCCGGGATGGGGACGGGGGCAAGGTTAACCCCCATTTAATTTCGGGGGTGGGGCGGGGGTAGGCAATCCCGTCCCGAAATCCCCATGGGGACACCGTTAATAAATTACACATATATTTACATATATTAATTATATAAATATAATAAACAATAACATGATTTTGAGTTTCCAAAATTCATCAAAAAACATGTTTTTAAGTTGTTAGTATAATTATTTTAAATGCCATAACTTTTTTATTTTTAACATATAAAATTCTGCTATAAATAATTATTTGTTACCTAGAAAATAGTTTATTTTAGCCTAAATAACAACTTCTTTTAGCCCAAAAAAAAGTAACCCAAAATCAATCGGGGGTGGGGGAACGGGGGCGGGACGGGGGTAGGAACATTGAACATTCCGGGGGCGGGGGAACAGGGAAATTTCGGGGGCGGGGGGCGTGAGATGCACTCTCCGCCCCGTTTGCCCCCATTGACATCCCTAATCACGACGTGACCATTGAGTGATCACGTCGTGACATGGGTTAATATGTAAATTGTGTTCGAGACTGATCTCATGACATGAGACATAGAGGCTCACGATGTGAGAACTGTTGCAGCCCAAGCCCATGATCTTTTAGGGGTTTCTTCTTATTTAAGTCCCTCTAAGTCATTTTTAGGGTACATTATCAACCCCAACAACATTTTTCCTCAGAAAAACCCTAACCCTCATTCCTTGATTGATTCTTAACCTTTTGAATTATTTATTGGCTTGGAGAAGAAGAGAAGAATGAGAAGAAGGTGATCCATTGGTGAAGCTTGCAACGAATCAACATCATCATCATCTTATATTGTTTTGGATCTTTGTAAGTGTCAAAGGCTCAAGCTTCATTGGATAAAGTGGTTAGATCTAAGTTATTGTCCCATGTATTTCATGTTTTAGCAAGTCTGAATGGAAGGAATAGATAAAGTTAGCAACTTTATGGATTCTAAGGGTCCTTGGAGTATGATTACGACTCATATCTAGAAATTGGTTGATTATTGGACCCATACATGAGGATTTTGGTTGGAGGTAAGCCTTTAGATTGGTATAGAAGTAAGTTATGAGCAAGTTAGCTCAACAATTTAGAATACCCACCCTTAGGAAAAGAACCCAACATCAAAACACACGTCAACCCTTTGTTCACACACCATTTCCCTAGTACTGAAAAATAAGAATACACTCTTATTTGGTCGTAGAAGCTACCCGTGAAAAAAAAAATACACATACCAAATGTAGTATATTAAGCAAAAGGATATGTGGATCACCTAAAACTCACATTAAAACACGTGCAATGAAAAGGAAGGAAGTGAGGAAAACCACACAAAACCCACTCAATCTGGGTGGGTATTGTTGAAAATTGACCTCAAGACTCAAACATGATGGTCCAAATGGTTTTGTCAAATGTGAGGTGACTTGAAATGATTCTTGTGAGGCCAAATCAAAACAACTAGGAGGCATCATGGGCAACAATGGTGTATTCGGGCGTCTTGAACTCAGTCTCATGAGCTAGGGACGAAACTACTTCAACTCCCGGACATGTTAAAACACTATTCTTGGTTCTTTTGAGTCGAGAGAGTGAGTTTATTTCTAAAACTCTAGAAAATTGCCCCCTTCTACATATACCAAATGTTTTTTCCTTCAGAGAATTTCCTACAACTCCCAACAATCGGAGGTTGTAAAGACTTCATATTAGATGTATATCCTTATAAAACATATAAACTCACATATATAACCTAATACTTAATTTAATAATAATTAATCTATTTAAAGCGTAAAAACATTATCTTTAAATTGATTTTTTATAGTTAAAAAATTAATGAACTTGTTACATTACAATATTACCCATCTTCCACAAATCCCAAACATATCGATAGAAATCTAGATGTGACTAGTCGACAACAAAATTAGGGTTAATATCTTGTAAAATGAACTCAACCAATAATATTGACAGATTGAACAAAGTTTGAGTAGATTCAAGGGATTAGTACAACAATGAGAACTCAATATACACTTGTACAAGCTTAAAAAAAAAATCAAACCCACAATAGAACCCACCAATCATATCGTGAATAAGAAAAAAGATTCCCCTGATGATTGTATGTATGAATTTTAGTAATTTAGTTACAATCTAATTTAAAAATAATATTTTTATGTTTTAAATAGATTAATTATCACTAAATCAAGCATTTTGGTATATAATTTGACGTCTTTTAAAGATATAGACCTAATTATGATAGTTAACAGATATAGACAAAATTCTAACAATAATATAAAATGTTATCTTTTGTACAACACCTTTTAATTTCAAATAATATAAGGGGCATTTTTTTGTATATTGTAAAAAATGTCTAGGACAGGTTTAGATCAGTTTGTGATGCAATCTCTTATGCCACTTCTTAGTTCTTCCATTGTTGATACTTAAATATTCCAGTCACTTGACATCCTTGTAGACCACATGTTTAGTCACACATGACATTGCACTCACTATTAAATGGATTTAAAGACACAAATATTCCGGTCACTTAAAATAATTAGAAGTTTGTGTAAGCATTGTAGTTTGCCATTGTCAATAGGATTCGAGTATTTTCAGAAATTAAAGGTTTGCCATATCCATTTTTTTCATGTTGAATGAAATTGCAATTAATATAAACGCGTGGGATTTAATGTTGTGAGTTGTTTGATCTTGCGTAACGTATCTTTATTACCCTGAATTCTTTACGTATTGGATTTTACATGAGTTGGATCTGTCAAGTATCATAATTTCAATCAGTAACCAACTTTGGAAGTTTCTTCAGTATTGGAGATGGGCCCACACACAAAAAAAACAATTTGGGAATTATTGGGCCATCATCACCCCATTTTTTGCATAACAAATTGAAGATGCCAA